TGTGAATTCAACGCTTAAGATGTTCACCGCGGCACTGAGGTCAGAAAAACTATGATTATTTCGTAATGACCCTTATAGGATTAGTAGAACTGGACCAGAGAATGTTCTAAATATGGACAATAAATTCTCATGTATCGATCTTATATCAAATCTTTGGAGGTGGATATTTTTATCTATTTATTCCATAATTATATTGCAATTCAGAGAAGGGAGATTGGTGTAATTCGACGGCGATCTAAAGCGTTAATGAAATGTTTACTTGTATGTATCGGGCTTCCAATAGGCATGATTTGATTTCAAATGTCATTACGGCCATTTTTAATATGTCATGATCTTTAATTTTTTCATTGTATTCAGTTATGCTTACAATTTCATCGTGGAAGATATACGCAAAAGAACGTTTACAAATTATACAATTTTATTATCAAAATAAACGTTCTCAATTGCAACTTTTCTTGTGCTTTTGCTATTTTATGGTGTTATGGTTGTGGTGAGTGGTGCGGTAAATAAACAAAACTGTCGATTCTGGTGCGAAGAAAATCCACAACTTATTCACGAACAAACATTATATTCACCTAAATTGACAGTTTGATGTGTTTTTGGTCTGGTGGAATCATCGGTCCGTACTTCTTTCGAAATGAAGCTTGTGACACCGTTACTGTAATGGAGGGCGGTATTGATCGATTTTACTTTTATGGCCGCAATTGGAAGAAGTTGATCTTGACAATGTCTGGTTCCAACAAGACGAGGCTATGTGCACACAGCACGTACTACAGCAACAAAAGTTTGGAGATTCGATAATTTCAAGAAATTGTGACATTAAATGGCATTAGACTACTTCTTGTGCGGTTATTTGAAGTCGTTGGTCTTTAGCAATAAACCAGGCTCTCTTCAAGCTTTTGAAGTCAATGACATACGACCTGATTTAGTGGAAAAAGTACTCGAAAATCGAGTTCATCGAATTCGTTCCTACAAGAAGTCTGGAGGCCGATGTTTTCGATGTATTCAGAATTAAATGTATCGATTGTACTTCATATTAATAAAAAACATTTAAACTTCCTTAACAATGAGCGTGTTTTTTTTTAACCATATCACGATTATTGGAAAACCCTATATTACTGATGAAGGAACTGCCAAAACAGAGCATTTGCCAGAAGAACTTATTAGGGTTTTCCAATAATCGTGATATGGTTAAAAAAAAAAACACGCTTTGTTAAGAAGTTTAAATGTTTTTTATTTATATGAAGTACAATCGATACATTTAAATTCTGAATACATCGAAAACATCGGCCTCCACGACTTCTTTTGGTAGGAACGAATTCGATGAACTCGATTTTCGAGTACTTTTTCCACTTAAATCAGGTCGTATGTCATTGACTTCAAAAGCTTGAAGAGAGCCTGGTTTATTGCTAAAGACCACGACTTTCAAATAACCGCACAAGAAGTAGTCTAATGCCATTTAATGTCACAATTTCTTGAATTATCGAATCTCCAAACTTTTGTTGCTGTAGTACGTTGCTGTGTGGCACATAGCCTCGGTCTTGTTGGACCAGACATTGTCAAGATCAACTTCTTCCAATTGCGGCCATTAAAAAGTAAAATCGATTCAATACCCCCTCCATTAACAGTAACGGCTGTCACAAGCTTCATTTCGAAAGAAGTACGGACCGATGATTTCCACCAGACCAAAAACCACATCAAACTGTCAAATTATAGGTGAATATAATGTTTGTTTCGTGAATAAGTTGTGGATTTTCTTCGCACCAGAATCGGACAGTTTTGTTTATTTACCGCACCACTCACCACAACCATAACCACCATAAATAGCAAAGCACAAGAAAAGTTGCAATTGGAGAACGGATTATTTTGATAATAAAATTGATAATTTGTAAACGTTCTTTTTGGTATATCTTTCCACGATGAAATGTAAGCATTATGAATACAATGAAAAAAAATTAAAGATCATGACATATTAAAAATGGCCGTAATGACATTTGGGAAATCAAATCATGCTATTGGAAAGCCCGATACATACAAGTAAACATTTCATTAACGCTTTAGATCGCCGTCGAATTACACCAACTTCCTTCTCTGAATATGCACTGTTAAGGAAAATGACGTAATGTATCACTTTTATATAAAGGCGTGATTTTATAATAGATGTTCTTTTGATGTAATCTACCACAAGAAATAAAGAGTAAGACAATTTGGCTCCGTTACTCTTTTGAAGTGCGTTTGACAGAAAAATACATTGGTTCGTGATGACCTGACGCTTCGCTTATAACGTTGCGTATTGCAAACTTGTGACTATCAACATACCATGAACAGGTTATATTAAGTATGTCAGGAAGTTTGTATTACTCAAAAGGAAACATCGATGACCGACAAGACCTATTAGACTCTCTGTGGATTACAGAAATTTAGATCATATTTAAACCATACTTATACCATACAAGTAGATTCGCCTACATTTTTTCCAACTTCTTAATTCTATATACTTTATGTTGCTCTATGCAGTACCGTCTTAAATCTAAAAAAACTTGTGGCCCTCTTTCATGTTGCTTTAAATTCTGAGAGTTCGAAATGTCATTAGTAATGACATCATGAGAGCAAGTAGAAACACACACCTCTTTTTATGACCCACCCTAATTGACAAGTTTTGCTTTTCACCATCGAGTTTTCTAAATCGAATTGGAGCAAACGATATTGGCAAAGTGATAAAATTTCAATTAGGCGGCGTCCATTCAACGCCCATGATTAGTAAAGCGCAAATGTGTGCGGATATTTAAGCGCCCTTTCAGCACTTTCAATTTTTTATTGGTATTTCCAAAACGTCTCGAAATACCATTACCATGCTGACGTACGGATGTATATGTATATACATAAATATTTTTATATACAATACATATACATATATTGTGCAAATATTGTAAATATGCGCATGTCAAATTAATACTTTGTGGCACACGTTCTAAATTGACCTAGAATGAAGTTAGGTATCGGGTTACCCACAGGTACACACACGCACAGATAACTGCTGTGAGGCAAACAAATTTTGCGAAATGAATACCCAATAAAAATGCTATTGCTCTTTTAGGTATGTAAAAGATGCAAATGTAAACAAGTCGTAAATAATATTGCTATATTTGCAATATATGTAAGTGTGTATATGGATGTGAGCCTTGTATATTCGAGAAAGGGTACATTAAACATACTTTGCCACATTCTACCACACTGCATTACTTCTATGAATGAGCGTTGTTTACCTTTATGTTCGAAGTAAAATTTCGACACAAGTACATCAAGCCATACAAAATATACATACATGCCCCGTAGGAAATTGAACAAGCACAAAATTGTTTTAGCTTTGGTAGTTTGGAATTCAACCAACTTAGAGGAAGACAAAATATCAACGGAAGACAAATATCATAACGCATGTAGTGCTTTGTTTAAGACTGGTGGATGTTGGTCAGACCACGATCGAATTCAAACAGGTTATGGTTGCTTAAAGCTCAGATCTTCAATGTCACATCAAAGGCCTCCAATGTTGGTTGATAACACGGCTGACTGGTTTCTTTACCGGTTAACTGCTGATTAGAGTTTTTTGCTATTGTGAAATATTATTGACCAGCATATTAGATTGCCGAGGACATATTGAAACACCTTTCATGGTATTACAGCTGATACTGAAGAGGCAAAGATGTAACGCATAGAATTACTGGTTGCAAAAATTTCGAAATTTTTGCCTACAAATGCTGAGTGTGCATATCTATATATTATATAAATCATATGCCGCTATTTTCATTTGTTGCAAAAAGGGTTGGCAAAATATTGACTTTCAAATTTGTTCGCTCCCAAAAAATACAACATAAAATATTATTGGACATAGACACGTAACTCGAGAGAGCATGTGTATTTACCATACTTTACAGCTTGTTGATATATTGATGAACTGTTTTGCGCTGTTATTGTAGCTACGACAACATTTTATTGCTTGCGCATTGGACTTCAAAATATCAGCCCTAATTTTATGACAGAAATTAATAATAGTTAAGGTAACTTTTGCTTTTCTACCTTTTGTAACGGGTTTCTTTTCTTCATTTTCTATTTTACACATTTCGAACACGAACTTTTGGAATTAATGGGTATTCGTGTAAAAGCTCGTGAACGCTTGTTGAAGGGATGTATAAATATAGCAGAATATATTTTATGGGAATGCATATATACATAAATATTACGTTATTTTTGTGTATGTAAAAGTTGCAATTTTGTGCTCTTAAAATATAACTTTGCTTTCTTTCGCTACACTGACAAAAATTGGTATATAAATTTAATAAATTTAAAAATTAAATTAAATTTTCTTAATCAAAGAAATCCAGTTAGTTTTGTTATTTTCGGAAAGATTTTTAAATATTAAGATCTTAAAAAATTCATATTGCCAGTTTCATGAAAATTTTCTTCAAAAGACTATCTAAAGTTGTTTAGTGTCTATCGATAAGTTAAAAATTTAGTTTTCTGAAATAAAATCTAAACTTTAAAATTAGAAAAATCCGGTTTAATAAAGAAGTGCCAATTTTAATATACTTCTAATCAGAACTTTCTTAAAAATTATCACAGAACTAAACTGAAAACATTTTGTATCGTATTGGACAACTCAGTGCTGATCGGAAAGTCAAGCAATAAACCATCTGTACTGATGTTAAAACTCTTCCTAAATGAAATCTGAGTTACATATATGTCGTTGAACGGCTCTTTTAAGTAGCTGAATCTTAAGAAAATCTTAAAATTAGACTAATTTATAAATTAGGATCTGCAATAAGTTTGTTACCAAACAAACATAGTATATGACTATTCAGCGCTGTTTATAAACTAATACGAAAATCCATAATAAATGATTAGGCCAAATAAATTAAATTATTTCAAGCATCATTACTTTCTGCAAACAAATTTTTCACAGTGCATTTCATCACATAAATACTTATTGTCATTTTTTATTTCAGGTCAAAACAATAGGAAACGAAAAGTTTGTGGCATTTTCGAAGTTTTGAATATATTAAGCCCGAATCAAGGTTGCCTATCCAAGTGGAATAATAAAACCACTATCTATTAGGCATACATACATCCACCAACAAATAAATATATTACAAAAAGAAAAAACACAGTAAACCACACATATACACCCGTCTCCAGCACAAGCATGTCAGCGCGAAGTCATCCACAAATGGCACCACCGCCACCACCCCCCAAACCAAACAAATCCGGCGCCACATATGAAAACCATGCAGCCAATGGTAATGGCACATTCGCCGCGTATGGCAACGGAAATGGTAATGGCAGCGCTGGTGGCAGTCGCAACGGTAGCATATCCTCGTTGACAGACAATCAGGGCAGCTTGCAGCGCCACAGTCAGAACGTCAATGGACGTAGTACGTGTCACACGCCACCGCGCACAGATCGAGAGCAGGTCGTAATGACGCCAAAAGGTAAAACCGTTAACAGCACCGTTATACTGATCGAACGCAAGCTCGTCGATGAGATAAACGAACGCGTTCATGTCGCTGGCGGCGATCATACAGGAATTATCATAAATAAGGACACCGTAAGTGGACAGAAGAGCGAAATGGTGCCGGCACAATTATCGCTGGAGTTTCGTGTATTCCTGGTAAGCGCCAATACTGGTAAACATTCGCAGGAATCACGTACGCTGCGTTTCTGGTTCCGTCAGTGGTTGCGCAGCGACGAGAAGCAGGCACAGATCGCGCAGGACTTCTTCAAAGAGTTGGTCAGTCCGAAAGATTTTCCCAGAGGTGAGTGAGCAATAGAGAGAAGAGAGTGAGACGAAAGCGAGAAAGCTGAATGTAACTTTTTTGAGTGCAGAAATGAAGTGTGTCATTGCATGCGATAAAAATTCCTTTATTGTTGATATTTTGCAGATTATGTGGGCTTCATTAAAAAGATCATGAAATTACTGCAACGTGGTTACGATGAGATACAGTCATTAGAAATCGAATTGCGCATTTTGGAGGAAACTGCAGAGCCGCCATCACGACCACGTAAGTATTCAATCTACATTATACTGAAGAAAAATTTAAAAATTTTATTTATTTAATTTCTAATATACTGTATTTTTTTATCCAATGAAAAAATGAAATTCGTTATAATGAGTAAAAGTTTCTGAATTTAATTCTTTGTGAAGTTGGACAAGAGATAAAGTGAGTCTAAATTAATCATAAGACAAAACAATTTCTGTTTTTGGTCGAATAGTGGCGATTTTTAACATTAAAACTAGTTTTAAATATTTTCTTTGGGTATAAAAAATTACAGTTAGATTTTTAATATTTTTTTTCACTTCAACTTTCAAACTTCTCAAACTGAAATTGATTTATTTCACTCTTCAACTGCTGCGGCTCGGTCTTGTGGGTGCGGCGAATCACTCCACCCACAACAACACTAACCTCACACAAGCTTAAGAAATGAACTTGTTAAAAGGAAATACACACACACACACACACCTGCACATATACTTTAAACCTATGAATTTATCTAGCTTAATTTGTCATATTAAAATATTTCGTCTCTCTCTCTACTTCTCTTTCTCCTACATCATTTTTATTTACAACAATGGTGTTGGCAACGCATACATCCCCATACATGTATATATGCATGTGTGTCTATTTGCATACATATGCTCTACTCTACTGCTCTGCAATTTCTTCCCTTTCACTCATGCGCAACGATCCACCATCGAATTTGATATTTCGAAATTTCGAATTTGGCATGAACGTCATGTTGTTGTAGCGCGCGACGGTTACATTATATACTGTTATGGTGATTGCAATCGCAAATTTGAGGAGGCACTACAGGCGCAGCGCAAAACAGGTGATGGCGATGACTTAATGAAAGCCATTTGGCTGGATATCTATAACGAGCAACTAACCACACGACGCAAATGATTGATTAGCGCGCATCTCGAAACGCATACATACATATACACATATATCTATGTGCATACTAACACACATGCATAACTCTAGTTGTAATTGTTTGTTTAGCTGTGTGTTGTTGGTCCACCACCTCCATGGCGGCACGTGGGAAAATAAAAAAAGAAAAAAAAACGAGGCAATAACAATAACAAATCAATTTTTTTTTTCATTTATCCATAACAACCGAAGTGAGCGCTGTTTAATAACCAAAAACTAAAAAAACAAATAAATAAGGAGGAAACTTTACAAAAACAACATATTGCAATTGTAAAGAAACGAAATTCTGCGAATTGCAAAAATAACTGTTGTTGCATCGTAATGTTAATCTGATAATCGTGGTACTCGTTGGCTGACTTGCATATATTTACTTATATGTATGTGTTTACGCCGTAGTTGTGGAGTTTTCTATGAACATACTTACAAACATTCATATACATATATATTCATATACATATATATTTATATGCAATATGTACTTCAAACATAATAACATATATGTATATACATACATAATTTTTCTTATTTGATTATGTTTTTATTACTCATCACCTCTGATTTTATCATATTTCTTTCATCAATCTTGTATCTTCATTTTCTTTGGTTTCATTTTTTATTTTGTTTATAGTTCGGCACTTTGTTTATAGTTTTTTTTACATGTTTCTGTATTTTTATCTATTTTTATTTTTTTATGGATTGTGAATCCAACCTTGCTTTGCTGACGTCCGCATGAATTTTTGTTGTGATTTTTAATTTCGCTGATTTTTGTTATATTTGTTGTTGTTCATCTTTGGAATCAGATACTCGTGCCATTCGTCATCATTTCTACTAGAATTACTATGTATATAAAGTAAGCTGTTAAAAGAAAATAAATAAAATAGTTTTAATAAAGTATTACAATATCTCTGGAAAAATATTTGGAGTGAAGAATATACGTATTTGTTTGTCATAAACGTATGATGAGTAACATAGACCGATAAACGGGGTAAACGGTAGAGCTGCTGACTAAATTTATATATTTTATACTCTCCCGATATGTTGCAGTGGTTTTGTTCCCAATACTATTAGCCCTTCGCAAATGCAGGGTGAGCCATTTTTTGTGTCGGTATAAACCTTGAGTAAAAAGATCTCGCCTGCGGCCTATTCTACATTTTTCAGCTACATAACGATGATTTCAGCCCAAATATTTGTCTTCAATGGTGCGGGGATTGCTGTCCTAGACTTTGCTTTTTAAATAACACAACAATACAAAGTCAACGAAAGTCACATCTGGAGATCTAAGTACTCAGATGTGACTCTCTTTGGGCATCAGACATCCGGGGAATCTTTCGTTTCATAAGCATTGTAACTTGTGCGACGTCTTTTTGAAACCAGTAATTGTCAAGACATTACCCACGAAATTGGCGGTAGATTTATTGAGATAGATTTTCAATTACTTTTTTCTTTTTTTTAAATGATTGTCTCGTTTTAGTCAAGAAATAGCGTTTCTTGGATATATGGAAATTTTAATTATTAACACCGTCAAAAAGACGAATCTTCAAGATAAGTTTACTCTCAGAAATAGTGTTTGGTCTCAGCCATATGAATGACTACTCGATCACATTCCGATTCGATTTGAAATTGCATAGTTTAAATTGTATTGCTTTGAAGTTTCCAGAGAGAGAGATACAGTCAAATACCCTTTTCAAGTTGTAAGAACCAAGTTTATTCATTCCGCTCTTAAATATTACAAATTTTGTGAGTTTGTATATAATTTAAGGTCTTCAGAGTAATCTCAAACTATTTCTTTGTCTTTATACAACGACTCTAAACTAAATTTGAAAATTATAGCTGTATATCAGCGCTGAAGAGGATCGACTTAAATATTTGGTATTTCAAAGCTAGTAAGATCACTCTAATGGTGATGACTCACACTAAGAAAATAAATTCACGACTTTAAAAGTGAAATTGTATGGTATGTACCATATATCAAATATTTTAGACGAATTATAATCAATTATGATTTGATATTCAGAGTATATATATCAAGTATTCCTTTTCATAGTATTCCTCTTCTTGAACAGAAGGAACATCTGATGGAAAATCTCTGAGAGTGGTTCTCTATCAGCATTAGATATTAAACCAATCAGATGCGATGCTTTGTTTTTAAGTAATTTACAGGTCTTCAATATTGGTTATAAGATTGAATTCAAATGTACGAAGCGGTGAGTTGGTTCGAAATGTTCTGGC